ACCCCCCCCCCCACACACACACACACTCGGCAGACCTGCCTGAGACAGGGAATGGGCTCACTACCTTTTAAATTGCCTCTCCCTGTCAACTCCTTCCTTCAGCAGGATGTTACTGAGGATGCAGGCTGCCTGGGGATGGGGCTCAGCAGTCAGAAGAGGGGAGTCTGGGCTCTGCCCTGCCCACCTCTCAGCAGCTGCAGAGAGGCTCTGACAGCGGGGTCAGCGCCAGGGTGCTGCCCATCACCTGGTAGATAAGGCGCACGGCAGCCCGAGATGAAATATTTACGAGTGTGTCAGGTTATCTTCAGATCTACACGGCCTGCACGCAGGCGGATTAGCCCAGGCAGGCAGCAGACGGGCCCCGAGGACCACTTAGCAAGCTCAGGGCCCGGCTGCTTGAGAGCAGGAGGAGCTGGGGCCAAGCTCAGAACCTCCGGCCACCTGAGTCCCCTCTGGCCTGCGATGAAAGGAATGAGGGAAGCAAGCCGGTCGGACGGTAAAATAAGCTGGGAGCGTGGGTAGGAAGTGGGCCTTTAGGAAAGTCCTTGGGGACATTGAAGGGCAGGCGGCCATCTCCATCTCTCTTGAGCTGGGGACTATCGTGGGAATAGGTATGGGGGCTGAGGGAAGAGAAAATGAAGATTTAGTGCCTAATACAGTTTCTGGTTTGGAGGGGATTGCAAAATGTCAGAACAGATTTGCTAAGAGAACTTGTAGGATCTTCATCGTCAGGGGTTAGTCAGCCCTATCCTCAGAAGCATCTGCCTTCTGCTTCCCTGATCCCCGCCAGGGGGGACCGGGGGATGCTAAGATGAGAAGAACCTGGGCACTGCCCACGCACGCTTCGTGCAGGACCCAAAATAGATGGAGATGATCTCATCCTTAATCGTTGCTCCAGTGTCAAAGCTTCCCCCAGTCTTACCCAGCGATTTACAGATTCCTTTCCTTCTACTCTCACAGTTAGATAGCAAAGTCCCAATTATTCCAGTTGTGTCACAGGTCAGGAACTCAAGACTCAGAGAGGCAAAGGCACTGACAGGAGGTCACACAGCTTAATTATACTCAGACTAGACCCAGATTTTCCAACTCCAAGCCTAAGCTCTCTGCCTGATCTCCATGCCCCTAAAGGCCAGTAAAATCTCCTTTGTCTGGCTGCTTAAGAGCTAGGCTTCTGAGAGCAGGGTGTCGGGGTCTGATCTAAACAGACTTGACTTTGTCTTAGGTCACATCTGAATGGCCTTCGCTCCCCCTTCTCTCTCTCCAGTGGCACAGCCTGACACTGCCTTTGGGCACAGAGCTGGATTGTATGGGGAAGATGTTTTGTTCAAGTATAGGGGTCAGTTGAAGAGGCAGAAGGAGTCTCCAGGGGGCCCAGCAGGATGGCCTGGGTAAAACTCCTGAGAGCCAGAAAGGGAGCTCGAGCAGCGACCTTTCATGCAGGCTCCCTAGAAATAATTCCTCCTAAACAAACTAACCCCAGGCATGAAACAGCTTCCCCAGGCTCTGCCTACAGTCCTCCCTGACTCCTCAGGGCCACGCCAGGTCTCCACTCCTGAGCTGGTCCTGCAGGTTCCCACCCCTCATTTGGTCCTGCAGATCCCCACCCTTTGGCTGACCTGTGGGGCTCTGCCTGAGGTGCCCAGCCTGGCTGTTTCTCTGCCATGTACAGCCCCACCTACTGCCCTGGAGGGAGGCCCTGCATGCAGAAGCTCACCCAGCCTTCTGGAAAGGGAGCCCTGTCTGTTCACGGTGGCGGATAGACAGAGCAGCTGCTCCAGCAGAGGGGAGAGGGGTGTTTCTACCCTGCCCAGCCAGCTTCCCAACCAAGACCCCATCTGCTCGGCTGTGACATCTCAGCCTGGGAAAATGTCCCAGCCAGTTCCCCAAGGGGGAGAGGGTGGCAGCCTTTCCTGTGTTCCAGGAATGAGAGAGCTTCCTAATTTAGTCGGTATTTGCCTGAGATCGATTTTTAATTAAATAAAGTAAGAGCCTGATTAGAACCTGCGGAAGATGTGAGAGCAGAATCAGATGGTATTCTGGCGAAACTGCAAAGCAAACACTTTGGCTGGAACAGAGGGGACCCCCAGGGGTCTTCCATCAAAGCACCAAGCGAGGAGGGTAAACACGAGATACTATATAGCCAACAGATGTGCACTGTGAAAATATGCATCTGCCGCATGCTTGGAGAAGCCGGAGGCCAGCTCACAGAGCCTCCAGGCTCCGGGGAGGGCATGGGGCTCGGGCCCAGCAGCCAAGCCCAGAGTCAGACATATTAATTAGCCTTGTGTTTCCAGCTCTCAGATGCAATCAGGCAAGGAGCAACTTTGAGCTGAGCAATTGCTACCCTAGGAGGGAGAGAGGGAGGGAGGGAGCTGGGGAACGAGGAGGGGAAGAGGGGGCAAGGGCTGTGCTTGGGAGGCTGAGCCAAGCAAAGTCCAGGTCAAGAGGCAGGCTGCATCCCCTCTGTGACCCAGGCAGGGACCATGCTCTGACTCAAGCCAGGCTGAGACATGCGTATTCCCCCCACCCCAGAACATATGAAAATCATGGTCTCATGGAAAGAGCAGCAGACTTGGAAGCAACAGCCCTGGTCCTGCCATTAACCAGCTGTGTGATCTTGATCCTGTTACGCAGTCTCTCAGGGGCTCAGTTTCCTCAATAATATAGTCTCTAAGAACTGTCTAGCTCCCAAAACACATGACATCCACCATCAGGACCCAAAAGCCGCACCAACTATTTTAGGAAAATGCTCTAACCTGCACTGGACCTGGGATTTGTGTGGTGGCCAAGGCAAAAAAGGTAACTGTTTGGGGCGTTTAGACAGCATTCCACTGTGAGGCTAGAGATGGGACCTCTCAAATCCTGTCCAGCCCTGGGATCCTACAATTGGCTCTGCACCTTAACCCAGAGGCCTCCTCTGCATCCAGCCTCCACCCATCCTGAGCCATCTCTGCAGAGACACAGCTTAGTTGACCATCAGGAGACCCCGATGCACCTGTGCAGAGCTGGGGTGCAGGAGGAAGGGCCCTGGCTGGGAGGCGGAGGAGTGCCTGCAAGCAGCTCACTCGTTGTGTGACCTTGGCAGGTCCTCAGGACTGGCACTGGGTCTCTGGTTCAGTTCTCTTTAACCAGCACTTAGTACAAAGTAGGTACTCAATAATATTTTAGGATTTTTAATAAATGAGTGAAAGAAAGAGAGAAAGAGAGAAAGAGAGAAAGA